AAAAAAAATCTACTGATTTTGAGTATTTATTTTTAACCTTTACATTTAAACGCGTATGATTTTCAATCGGAGTCGAAAATCCGGTTTCTATGAAATGATGGAACTGCTTTTAATGGAAATAATATACCTTAAATTTACATACTTTTGCATACAGTGAAGAATATTTATTTTTTTAAAAACTTTATTTTTATTCGCATTTTTATTCGCGTTAATTATTAAAACGCGTAATTATCACATCAAGTACCTCAAGTACGATACATCAGGTAATTTAATCAAAGTAAACAGATAAAACTTTGATAACCTTCCATTATATAATCTATTTTTTTTTTTGCCAAGATAATAATATTAATACAATAATATTTATATAATATTTACACAACTTTTTTTATCAGACCGGCTATATCTATATGCTAATAATAATGTGACACGTTCAAATAGCAATTTCATATGATCAAGATTAAACCAATTATAAATTTCATAAACAAAAAAAAATTGCCAATCAAGAAGCCACAAACCAGCCGTAAACGGGAATTGATAAGAAATACAAACAGGTTTGAAGTATTATTAAATAAAACTTTATCATTTTTCCTTTCAAATTTATAAACTAAAAAGATTTTTTTTTTTTCTTTAATAAAAATAGATGAAACCCCATAATAATGAATTATTAAATCTAAATTATCTAACCAATACCATACTTAAATTTAAAATCTATTAGTTCTTAAGAGATACAAATTTGTAATCGTGGTTGTAAATCCGAGTGGGCTGTGAAAATTTTTATTATTGTACAAAATGCAATGTAAAAGTGACATGCCAACTTTTTTTTTTCCCCACAATCCTTTTTTTTCTTTCTATTTTCATTTATCTCATGCACGCATAATTCGGGATCTCTTTTTTTTTTAAAAAAAAAAATAATAAATAAATAAAATAAAGAGATAAAGGATATAAAAAGAAACTGAATGGCATAATTTTGCATTGATAACGTTACTATTTCCCTTTTCTCATTCATTTATTCATTCACATTACTATTATTTCGCATGCACGCTATTAATTATTATTTTTTTTTTTTAATCATCGATTGAATTTACTGCCGTATTTTTAACAATATAATCAGAATATGGTCTGTAACTATTGTCACGAAATTAATGTAATGACATATGATATTAATTATTAATTTTATTTTATCTTATATTTTGAGTCTCGGATTTTCGGATATTGATTTTTTTTTTTAGTCCATTGTAAAAGAGGCGGTGTTTATCGTTATACGGCATTCCTATTATAAAATATTTTCAATAGCATTATTTTTAATATTTTAACCGATAGATCATATTATTTCTATTATAATTTATATTTAATATTTAGTTTTGAAGACCATATTTTAAAATAATAATATTTTATTTATATGCATATATTTTAAATTTTCAATAGCTTTAATCAACCACTTAAAATGGATGTCAAGGAAAAAAACGTGGTTGGCGCAGTATTTTTGCTTTGTTATATAAATTTTATACACATGATATGCATAAATATTTAATTATTACGTTATCATTATTGTAAATAGAAATATGACGATATTTATACAAATACTTTTATATTATACTTAATATATATATGATAGGATGGTAACACATCATTTCTTTATTGAAGATACTATTTTTGATTTTGGTCCCTGAAAGATAATTTATATTATTTAAGAATAGTTCAAAAATTTATGAAAGGAGTTCCTTAAAAGAACATGTATACTTTAATAGGATATATGAGAGATTGACCTAAATTTAAAAGGAAAGAAATTTAAAGTTTTTTTTTTTCATTTATGGGTCACGTTTTCTTCTACATTGACCATTTTATTTATTTTTTTTTTTAAACAAGTTATTTTATTATGTATGCGAAAAAAAAATGATCTATCGTCATGAAATTCATTTTATAAAATTTACCCCACCGTATTTCCCTTTAGATAATCTAATTTGTATTTTAAATTTATTATCATAATAAAAAAAAAAACTTTTGAAAAAAGGCGAGAAAAAAAATCTTTGGGCTTTTAATTTAATTATAGCATATATACATTTTTTGTAACAAATAAAAAGCACAAAATATTCTAATAATTCTTAATAAACGGAACGCTTGTATTAAAATTAAACTCTAGGAACTTATTTATAATTATAAAAATTATAGCATATCTAATGCATACAATTTCATATTAATAACATAAAATACTAAAATAAAAAAAAACTACTATATGGGGAATACACGGCCAATTTCATATTAATAACATATAAAAAAACTACTATATGGTAATATGGGCCGTAACCCTAGCGTGTGCTACACAAAACTAGTAATATGTATACAATCAGTTTTAATATTTACATTTATGGAATAAAATAGATAAGGGTAAAAATACGGCATAAGGGGTAGCATCTAGGGGTATTTTGTACTATTATCACCATTATTACTTTTTTTTTTTTTTTCTTTTTTATTTTATTTTATTTTATTATTTATTTTATTTTATTTTATATTATTTTACTTTTATTTTACTTTATTTTATTTTATTTTATTATATTATTTATTTATTTGATTTTATTTTATTTTACTTTTATTTTACTTTTTATTTTACTTTTATTTTACTTTTATTTTACTTTATTTTTTTATTTTATCTATTTATTATTTATTTACTTTTATTATTTTTATTATTTACTCCTAACGACAAGAAGTTTAAAAACTACATATTATTTTTTCTTTTAATACTTAGAAATATCAGGGGTACTTAGTAAAGCTATATTAAATGTTTAGATTACCCTTAAATAAAAAATAAATAAAAACAAATAAACAAAAAAAATAATTTTTATCGAAAAATGTTCCTCTATATATCTATATTTATATATACAATGATCAAGCTGATTTTATGTAATCGTAAAAAAAAAAAAATTCAAGGTCCGCAATGTGACATTGTTTTTTAAAAACGTATCTTTGATATGTATTTCGGAAATAAAGATTAAAAAACATGCACGATTACAAATAAAATCATGATAGTGTTTCAGATTCTGACAGAACGCGTAGAAAAACTTAAAGTAAATAAAACGAATTAGTAATTACTATAACTGATAATATTAGTTACTAAATTTATTAATTAATTAAATTAATTTAAACTAATTAAAACCGACAATAAAATAAAATATACAGCTAACCGATTATATAATTATATCACACTAAAATAACAAGTTTTCATATCAATTTATTTCTAATATAAAAAATGATTATATTAATATATATCATTGTTATAATACCAAACTTTAATTCGTTTGGTATAAATATTTGTTTTGCATTAATGTAACATTAATAATATTATGGCTTTGTTTTTTTTTTCTCACTGGACAATATAACAATAATTAAGCTTATTTTGTGAACGTTTTGATTTGTTTGTTTAAAATCTGTATTTTTTATTTATACTTATTTGTATAAATTAAAATAGGATCTTTAAAGTATTAAGTGTGATTGTTGAAAATCTTTATAAACGAGAATCAAAAAAATTCTCCGATTTTATCGCTAAATTTGGATTCTTTTTCTATTTATAAGAATATTCGAGAATGTAAATACCCTGTGTAATACCCTACTTCTAAAATGGTTATTTGTTGTTTCTTAATTAGTTGCGCAGCAATTACGTTATATTTTTGACTTTTCGCGTTCGCTTAAATATTGATTACGTCACTCGAGTTATTTTAAACCAACTATTACGTATACGTGTTTTTATTTATTAAATCCTGTTTTTTTTTCTTGTTTTATTTCGTATTTATTGTTGAATAATTTGATAAAAATCGTACACGTAAAACATTTCTTTATACCTTATTAAAAAAAAAGAAAAAAAAAAAATGTTAAAAATTTTTAACTTTCAAAGATAATAAATTTTATGTTTGCTGCGGTATAACATATTTTTTATTATTCAGGGGATTGATAAAAATTTTTATTTTATTTATTTTAACAATATTTAACCTTGAATTTCTTAGTTACATTTAAAATATTGATACCACTGTTAAAACATGCATAATGATAAAATAAATTAACCCCTTCCCCCTTATTATTTATTTATTACCTAACTTTCCTAACTTTTTTTATCCTTTTTTTATAAAGAATATATATATGGATTAGGTGATTCGACTGATTCGTGTTATTTATCTTCACATCATATATTATTATATAATATCTGTCTCTTATACACATCTAGATGTGTATAAGAGACAGGATTCGACTGATTCGTGTTATTTATCTTCACATCATATATTATTATATAATATTTATGGTTATGTTAACAACAATGATAATAAAAATCCTATTCAAAATGAAAAAAAAAAGTGGGATGATTCTTTTACATATCACTTTAATTTCATTTTATTTTTTTTTTTTTTTTTTTTTTTTATTTTTTGTCCGAAATTATTTGTTATTGTAAAAATCTTTTTTTTTTTCCCCTTACTATCGTCCAATAATATTTTTAATCTATGAGTTAATTAATTTTGTCATTATGAAAATATAAACTTGAAACAGAACAAGTTATTATTAAGCCTTAAAAAAAACGAAAATCATCTCCTTCTAAGTATAAATAATGATCATAATATGCAAAGTTCTGTATGATAATTTAGCCGACTTGATTGTTTTTCTATTGGTACTGCTATACTGAAATACTGGTATTTTTTGTTGATGTTGGCCAAGATTTTTTTATAATTTTCATTATAATTTTCCTAACTTGTTGATGAACTTGTATTGTTCTCAGCTGATCCTTTAATAAATTTTGAAGAAAATATTTGAAATTGTAAACATATTCCTTTTTTCGGAGTTTTTTATTATCATTTCCAATTTTGTACATTCATTATTTTATTAGAAAATTCTATCAATAAAGTTGAAACCAAAGGGTTTTGTTTTTTATCGCTATGGCAATATATCGCTAGGCCTCAAATGTCACGTGTTTAGAGAATTAATCATGTGATTTTATTAGCAATATTATTTGAGCAAATTAATTATTACTATTTATTAACATTATTGTATCCTATTAATACATTCCTTATATTTAATACATTTCTCTACTCTATTAATACATTCTTTTTATTCATACATTCTAATTAATTATTCCCAACAAATTATTCCAAACCGAACAAACCAAACATTAAGTTAATAAGTTCGTTCAATATAAAAAATAACAATGTATGTAAAACAAACAGATACAACAACCAATTTCAACAACAATCTTGTTGATTCTAATCACAAAGCCTTCAGGATTGTTCGACTTTGGACATGAAACATTAATAATAAATGGACAACCAATAATATTTTTTCACAGTTAGTGCTTTTAGTGAAAACAGATATATATACGACGATGGACAATTCCTACCTCGACGACCTACATGATCTTTAATAACCCGAAACCCTTGTCATTTTAGCCCAATAATTTGCAACCTTCCCATAATTGAAATTTCTTTTTTGAATATAATAGCACATGTTCATCTTTATTAAACAAGATCGCTTCATCACAAACATCATTACAATTGTCTGCAAAAAAAATGTAATAAAATAAAAAGAAGGGTTAGAAATAATTACTATTATAACATGAAATCATCTATCCTAATCCTTAACCCTAGATCTACCCTCCTTACCCTAACCCTAAGCCACTCCAAACAACACTAAAATAACGCACCTAACCTAAACCCACCCTTCTTACCCTAGCCCAGCTGCTCCAAAGCCAACTACCACTCTAAAGCCAACACTACTTTGAAACCAGCCAACATTATCCTGCCTAATTACATACCTTGAGCAAATTCTGAAAGATGAATATTTTTGAATTTTTCTTCTTCCATAAGTCATCAGGAAATTTTTTATATGTAAAAAATATGCAATATTTTGTGCATGATGAAAAAACTGATTTGCACACCCTGAAAATGCACATTAATTGCATATTTAATATAATGTATTTTACATATTAATTTTTATATAAATTTGTACAAAGAATTAATTATACATATAATATTGTTAGTTATATTGCATAAATTTCGAGAACTTTAACTATTTGTGCAATATTGAATACCCTGAAAATTTGTGATGAAGGTAGGTTTACGTAAAAGGGAGAAAATAAATGAAATTATTTTGGGTTTTACGTTCAATATTAAAGAAAGAAAAAATAAAAAAATTCAAATGAAAGAGGGCGAGCAAACGTGGGAAATACTGATTTGACGAAAATCAAAAAGTTTAATGAAGTATATCACGTGCCTACCATATTGAATTACGTAATTCATGTGACAAGATAATTTTCTTATTTTTTAATGAATTTAACGTAGTATTTACGTTCGAGATATTTTATCATGCTATGGGTAAGTATGTAAGCATAACGCATACATGACATACAGTATAATTCTGACGATAATTAATGTAATATACAGTATGTATATAAATGAAAAAGTAATTAAAATCCATAACACAACAATTTCTATACGCTAAGCACCAGTACTAAATTATCTAACAGCTCCCGCGGCTCTAATTACAAATCGGTTTCCAGCCGGAGGTGAAACTTTAATTTCGAAAGAAATTGTGCAGTGGTATTCAGCTACGGGCTTCTTTTATTTGTACTTTGAGCGAACCGTCACCGATTTTAATACCGGAGAGTCTATAATTTAATAAGGAAAAAAAAAATTAATCTAGTAATAACAATGCAACAATCGATCTGCACGTAATTTTAGTCTATATATTATTACTTAAAAAACTCCAAGAGAACGATATGATGATTGACTTACTGGATATATGGGTTTAGGACTAGCATTAGTTTTTGTCTATATTTAAAACGCAATACGTACGCAACGAACTATCTAATTTATGTTGAATAGTTAAAATACTTGGATCTTTTTGACACAAAACGGGAAAAGGGGAAAATATGAAAAAAGATATTAAATTCAAAATGCCTATTTAAAAATTTTTTTTTTGTATGTTTCAATCAAAAAACGCAATCGTCCCTTGGCAAAAATGTCATAAAAAAGAGTATTTGTATAAATGAGAAAGTAAATTAAACATGTGCTATTAATTTACGATAATTTACGATAAACAATTATTTGAATTTCTTTCCGACTTCATGTTAATTGAAATTTGGTCAAAATCAATTGAAGCATTAAACATAATGACAAGCGTCGTCACTTTGAAGTGTCTACAGGACTCAAGACTTTAGAAAAGAGGAGACCGTATAAAATAGTAAATGTATGAAGAAAATAAAAATTTTTTTTTTTCAGTTTTCAATGTAAATATAAAAGGTTATTTGTTTGTTTTTATAAATTTAAATTATGTGATATGTGGGTTAAATGTTCAACAATCATTAAAGAAGAATCTTGGTCACAATCCTTTTGTAAAAAGATATTATCATTAACCTTATTATCCCCAACTTATTATCCCAAGAAAAAAACAAAGTTCAATGAAAACTTTTTATATATTTTGTGCCACCATATGTTTAATATGACCATCTTTAGCGATATTATAAATTCAAGAGAATAATTTATTTGTTCTTCCGGATATGAGCTTTATAGCACGCATTTATAGAATTTATTTTGAAGCTTTCGTGTTAACTTCTTGGAGATCTTTAAATACTATTCATATTTGATCATCGTCCGAAGAAGGATTTTAATAAGAGAATGAGGTAGATTTATGACCAGGAATTGGTTGGTTGCATATAAGATGATGATTATCACAATTAAGAAATATACATCACCTGAGGAATGATTGAAGGGAGATGAAGTGAATTAATACTGGGAAAAAATGGAAAAGAAAGAAAATTTCATAAAAAATGATAATATAATTTGAGTAAACGGATATGTTTAAGTGCTTTCATTTTTATATGAACTCGGTTGATCAAAAAAAAAGAATAATAAATTATTCTATTTATATATTTCTATGATTAAATATTTATGTAACCTATTTTGGTCAACCATTCTATGTTGAATGGTATTATTGAACCTGTCGGAATTATCTTCGCGACTCGATCGCAATGTAAATCATTATTAATAATACCGATATATAATAAAAAATATAAACAAATTCGCCATCGAATTTAAATAATTATAGTACGTATTTTATTAATATATAAATATCATGTATATCTTTTCGGCTACGGCGAAAATTCTACTAGCTAGAGGCAAAAAATGACTAATATTATATGTTTATTAATTCATGGGATATAATAATACTCTTGATTCAACTTATTCAATTGATAAAATACCAATAATTATAAGCCAGCAAATACGTAATTAGATTTAAATGATGGATGATATCTATTATTATTTAATATATGTAATTATTTGGTATTAACTTTATTTTGCAATGAAATCATTTTATTTGTCATTCGATATGCATTTCATTTTCATGAAATACACCGATTAGTAGTCGGGAAATTTTTTACGAGTATTTTTTTTATGTTATATTTATTATAACAGAGAAATATTGGCAGAAAATATATAATAAAAATTTTCACTATATATATATATATTAGTTAGAATATACGTTCAGTCTAGCTTTTTTTATCTACGCTTCAAGTTAGTTAATTGCAAAGTTCGTAATCAAGACGAAATATATTTGACATATCATACATAATGTTCATATCAAAATTTCTCTATTAAATGATTTTTTTTGAAAGAAAATATTTTTTAGTTATTAAGTTAAATTCATACGGACTTGCCGCTGTTTTACGGCAAATACGGCAAATATGGCAAAAAAACGGTAATACGGAAATTACGGCCGGAACTTAACCACATAATCTTATACCATTACGCCGTTAATCCGTTACAATTGTGATTTTTATGGAAATTTACAAATTCAACGGCCAGTGATTAACAGGCGCTAAAGAAAAAATATTTTAATTAAAGCGTTATCTATAATTTGTGCGAGTTTAATATGTTATATGTGCGAAAACACATTAAACTGAATATACAGTACATTTCATTAAAACAATAAAACGGATATTTTTTTTTTTTACCCGATTAATTTAATTTATCTTTTTATCCAAATTAAAAAAAAACAGTATCAAACTTTCAAAATTCTTTGGCATTTACCAAAATATAAAATAAATATAAAAATATGGAAAAGACAAAAAATTTATAAATTATAACGACCTTTTTTTTTTAATAATCAATAATGCTATATCTAACATATAAAAAAATTAAGTAAATAAAATATATATTACAGTATATATTAAATATATATTTCTCAACGAATTTATATATACGTCATATAATAATTATTTATTATCAATAGTATTTTCTTTTAAGAATATTAATTAATACATATAATGTATAAAATAAGAATTTTTCTAACTATCACCGGGGGTGATGATCACTGGTGACTAAAATTATGACAATCGACTAGCATTAAAAAAATATAGTGTCGGTAAAAATTGATAATTCTGGCCAACGGTGATGATCACCCCGGTGATTTTAAGTAAAAACCTATAAAATATTATATATATGTAATATTTATATTTAAAAATACATTATATACGTAAAGAAACAAAGAAATAAATAAACACTATATACATAAAAAAAAAATAAAGAAATTAAGAAATAAAGAATATTTACGTTAATCATTTTTTTTAAAAAAAAGAAAAATAATAAAATACAGTATCGCAATGTTCCGATGTTATATTATAATTATTATTAATCAATATTAAATAATTTAAAAAATATAAATAAACAAATCTGAAATGTTTTTTTTTTTTTTCTTTTTTACGTTTCTTATTATTAATCAATATTTAGTATGAAAATAAATAAAAAAACCAACCAATTAAAAAAAATTTAAAAATGATTTTCAAGAAAGGGTGTCGGGGTATTTTATTAATTAGTTTCAATAAATATCCCCAAACAGTTTAAAACAACGCCTTTACAATTTTTTTTTTTGAAAAATCATGAAACATTTCAAGTTTATCAAAATAAATCCAATTTTTTATTCATTCATAAAAAAAAAAATTCTTTTGAAACACAAATAAAGAAAATCGGAACAAAAGTTCTAATTTAAAATTCTTTAATTCTTTGTCAAAAAGTATCTAAAGAACGGGAAAAAAAGAAAAAAAATACTATTTTAGTAATAGTGAAAGCTCATGTTATTCATATTATAGAAAATTAAGATCAACATTAAAAATTGATCTTGATTACCAGAATATCCTTGAAAGAAGAATTTGCTTCTCATTAATTGTGTATAACCCAACAAAAGTTATTAACGGATATCTCCGATATCTTTATTCCCTCTTACAAATAGATCTTGCCTCTTTAAATATTATTCTTGTCCTTTTTTTTTCTATATTTCTTTACTTTTTAAGAACATTCCTACCTTGTAATCTATTTTATTATTTAAAAATTATTTTATATTTCAAAATAAAATATTAATTGAGATTTCTACAGCGGATATTTCCGAAATTAAAATTCCGATCGAAAAATCTCTCCATTACTTTAGAGACTTTTGACTTCTTGTTAGTATATTAACTGCCCTTACGTCACTTATGTACTTATGTACACTTGTTTTATAATTTCGGAAAAGCCGGATCTTAAATTTTTTTTTTAACCAATAAAAAACTGAAAATCTCTTTCACTGACCAAATACATATTTCAAATAAAAATTATATTTTAAAGTTTTTTTTATTTTTATTAAAAAAAATAAATAAAATAAGTAAATAAACAAATATTTTAATCAATTGCATAATGAGAAAATAAAAAGTAAGCTCATAAGGATTTTCTAGTTTAAAAAAATCCGAAAATATATTTCCTTAATTATATATGTATATAGTAAAAAGTAATCCTCTGTAAATTAAAACAAAAAAGAATATAATATAATTAAAAAAAGGAATTGAACCCTACGATTGAATGAGTGTAATTATAATTATATTACAAAAAAAAGAGTTTTGATACACAATTTTCATTCACTATATTAAAAAAAAAAGGAATGTAAAAGTTTTTGCGTTTTAATTAAAAAAAACGGGACAAGTAATAACAACAATTAGAAAAGAATGAAATTGTAAAATTTTTTTTTTTTTTTTTTTTTTTTTG